CCTTGGCTCCACCCAAGATTCCCCACACATTCCTCTTGACACAATGTGGCCCGTACAGCCTGTCTTAGATACTCCTTCATACACAGCCCATGTCACTGCTGCCCACAGCCACAGCCTGTGACCAGAGCTTTGTCCTTGCTGTCTCCCACAGCGGACCTCAACATCGTGATTGTGGACAAACCTGAGAAGGCTGTGGTTCTGCTCCAGCATGTGGAGAAGAAAGAGACTCCAATGCTCAAGATGATCATCGTCATGGATCCATTTGAGGAAACCCTAAGAGAGAGAGCGCAGGAGTGTGGGGTGGTCCTGAAGTCCATGCAGGCTGTGGAGGTGAGTTGACTTCTGCGTTGCTTGCCGACCCAGGACTGGTTGGCTACCAAGCTAGAGCTGTTGGTTATCTCCTTCTGATGTTCTGCAAAGAGTCTTCAGTGTGTGTCAGGGGTAAGACAAGGACAGGCCTTGCGAAGACTGATCGAGGTCCTGTGCAAGTCAGGTTCATTGACTGGCACAGTTGATGGCCCCTGGCACCAAGAGGTGCACAGGAGATGCCAATCCCCCACAAAGCTGCCCATGCAGACTGTAAGCTTCCGCAGCCACACCTGGCTGCCAGCCAATCTGTGCCTGAGGATGCACAGTCTAGGGATCTTAGAGGTTCTTACAAATGTATCCCAGAACCCCCATAGCCAACATGCTTGTTCTGCATGACCTCCCTAGAGACATCCCTGGATTTTGTGTCCTGCTGAGACACAGGATAACTGAGCCTCCAGGAATTCATTGTAGCTAACCCCTCCTTCACCCCACCCCCTGACTGCGCTGCTTGATCTGGGCCCTGGGCCTTCCAGTTCCTCTGACTTCCTCCCTGCTCTTCATTGAACTCATTGTGGCTTTTGCTGCCACATCCACAGTGGCATATGCCAGCTCATACCACTCAACTAGAAGCCTACTACGTCCCCCAGATACTGTGCCTGAGCATGTACCCAGAAGTACTATGGGCATTTCAAAATTGGGTCACTCAAAGACTGGGCAGGGAATCCTGAATTCTGGGTTTGCCACAGGAACACATACTGCGCTGAGTGTATTCTGATTATTTTTCTGATGTGTGAACATTTAAAAACCGTATTTTCTTCTTCTAGGACTGTGGCCAAGCGAATCATCGTGCACCTGTGGTAAGCTAACATGCAAGCAGGTCTTTATTGAGCAAGATAGTGTGCTCTACAGCCTGACCTCATGGAGCACCCAGTGTGCACCGGGGCCAAGCAGGCTCCTCCGTGGTAACAAGCAGCTCTTGTGAGCGCTTCAGACAATGCAAGACTTCTCTGGGCCTAGGGTACTGGGGAGGACCTGGGACTGCATTCAGATAGTTGGGAGGGAGCCAATAATGTTTTTGGGAATTGGTTTTTTCCCCTTTGAATGTAACACTCTCCAGAGGATGGGATAGACACAAACACTGACAGACCAGAAATGGGTCCCTGGAACCATTTCCCTTGTGGCACTTACAGCCTTTGCTAATCTTTGTTTTACACATTCTTACTAGTGCATGGGTCTGGTCTCCAGTGAATATGGATACTCCTTGGGACTGGCCATTTGAGGCTTATAGTTTTCTAATGAGGCCTTTTACCTCCAGATTTTATTCCAGCTTGGCTTTGCCCCTTGCTCTCAAGAGTCCTCACTCATAGCTGCTTTCCAGAGCTCTTCATGGGCAACTTCTGGCGTTTGCCCACTTCCTATACGTGCTCCAGCATCAGAGATTTCCTTTCTGATCCCCTGGTGTTGCTTTGCCACTTGTGAAATCTCAACTCAAGTGTTACCTCCTCTAAGGGGCCATCCTCAATGTGCAGGTGGACCCGATGGGCTCTGTCCAGGGGTGACCCCATGACTATGCCCAGAACCAACACGGGCATAGTGCAGAGCTGACCTGGTGACAGTTATATCCCTAAACCTAACCACAGACATTTCAGGGCAACTAGACAGAAGGAGGAAACTAGTTCATATCTACTAGAAAAGTGAGATCTTTGTAGAAGCTGTGGCCACCACAGCCCAATTCTGTCTCGGAGAGTTCAGCTCGGGCTAAAACCAGAAGTGAGTGGGGACCAGTTGTGAGGTTGGAGAGAGATCAATGTCCAGGTCCCACTTAGGTTTCCTTAGTTTCTTTTTCATTTACTTCCCACCCTTTCTAACCTGCAGCACACAGGTGTATGCACACATCCCCAAAACCTCCCCAAGTCCACATGCAACACTCATACACTGGGTTGAGCATGGAGGGGCTACCTGGAACAGGGCCACTGGGAGCTTGGGCTCTGTCTGTCTGTTCCAGTTTTCTCTAACACATGGTTTATTTGATTTTTCTTCCCCCTCTTACTTCTGTAGCCCCCTAATCCTGATGACCTCTCGATCGTTTGTTTTACAAGTGGTACAACAGGTAAGCAGAGGTACCCAAATCACTATCCAGGGCTCCCTGCACCCTTCCTTTGGCAGCCTGGCCAGTTGATGACAGGTGCCTCTTTTCTCAGTAGAATGAACTGAGCCTTGCCCTGTCCCTGGCTCCAAATGTTGGGTCCCTCCTGATGCTTTCAGTGCCCAGCAGAGGAGACGCTGGTGCTAATACACTGTGTGTGTTGTGAGGTTTAGGATGGGACTCTGGGACTTCCTAGAGCTGCGGCCCAAGGACAGCTGGGCTTGCTGGTTCACGTGCAGGAAGAACTTCCTCACTGGGCTTGTTCTCTGTGGGAAGCAGCACTCACCCCTCTGATTCCTGCTCTTGATTGGCCTTTGTGTCAGCAACTGGTGAAAGACTATGGGGTTTGGAATCTGAGGGCCTGAGTTTGAATCCTGTCACCATGTTCCAGAGGGCTATGAGCCAGTCACAAAACCTCTCTGCCACCACTGTCCCCACTTTTTCACCTGAGACAAGAGTTCCAAGTTTAGAAGGCTAGTACACATGCTCTGCGGATTGGGGATAGTATGCTGTGGGCCAGACTGACAGGCCAGTTCTACACTTGATACTGACAGTGGAGCACATGCTCCAGAGGGAGGGCAGAGAGTATATGAAAAGCATGGCCATAGTCACAGAAATTCAGCCATAGTGCTCTGAAGTGTGCTGGCTATGAAACTGACCAGGTGGAGGGTACCAGCAGCAAATAGGGGAACTGAGACCATGTCACTCGCTGCTTCACCATCTCATCTGATATCTTAGAAGGCCCTTGCTCTTGCCTTAAGTGGACAATAAGTTTCTGGCCTTTTTCTTCCAAGCCAAGAGCTGGCCTACCTTGATAATAGCTCGTGGACAATGAAATGGGGCTCCCCACTCCCACCAATCCAGCTAACAGGAAGTTCATACCCTTTATTAGCCTCATTGAGACTGCCCATATAGTGCATAATGATCAATGTGGTTTTGTTAAGATGGATTCTTGCCGTTAACTCAAGTGGGTTAACATATTCTGATAAGCCTTATCAGAAAAGAGATATAACAGAGCTCTTCCTCTGTAGGCGCTAATGTCCAGAGCAAAAGGATAGGTTTACATAGAATTTTTTTAAACAGTTTTCAATTTTTTCAATTTTATAACATGAATTTTTTTGTGTGTGACCTGTACCTCCACCTGGGTTTAAAGGTCACTGCTGTGACCTTTGCCTTTTACACCTGCTTGTTTTAGAATGTCTTCCAGCTTTTAAGGGTCACTTGGCCATAGATGCTGCTCATGCTTCAAAAAGAACTAACAGTGCAGAAATGCGCTGCTACCTCACTAGAGGGCTATCACATCCAGTGTCTTCCAGAACCATAACAAAAATCTTGAAGTTGTATGGTGCAAAGAGAATGCTTGAAAAAAAGAGAACCTACCTGAAAAAAAACAAAACTTTGATCTAGTGTCCCATCTCCCACTCTGTGTGTGTGACTGGAGCCGAGCAGAACTAGGACAGGACAGTGAGGGCAGCATCACAGTGGCCTCTATCCTGACACCCTGCATGACTGCACTCTTGGATTTTTCTGACTTTGCCCTAAGTCTCTTCTGAACCTCATGTGTTTGTCCTCTTACTCGGATCAGCCACATGTATTACCTGCCTCACTGCCCCAGACATGGTGCCTCTTCCATGCTGGGGTGTCCTAAGCCCCAAATTCATCAAGGACCATGTTCTTATTCCAGTGAGGAAAGATAGAAACTATTGGTTTAGCCTGACATTCAGTTCAAAAGTTCTTGAAGGGAGAATTTCCAGGAAGAATTTTCTTCTCACCATGTGGTGGAAACATCTGTGGAGATTCTTAAAATAAGCTCTTGCTTTGGAGCCTCTAGTCAGGTCATGAAATACTTAACACATGCAGCTTTAAAAAAAAATCTGGGCTACAAAAATGAAGCACCTAATATAGTGCTCACATTACTGGACCTAATATAGGGCTCACATTACTGGATGTCTAATGTTTGGCTCTTACGGTTTCTATTCATACTGAGTTCTGTGGCCTAGTGGTAAGGAGTTGCACTACCAACTCAAAGACATATGGTTTAAATCTACCAGATTCTCCACTGGAGAAAGATGGGCAGTCTCCTTCTGTGCAGTTTACTGCACCCCTTTCCCAGACTAAATTCCTTTTGTAGACCCATATCTGGACCCTGAGATTTGTCATTTCTTTGTAGCTTCAGGGGGAGTCAGTTCCCAGTCCCTTGGGCTCTTCAAGTGACTCGCCAGAGCCCTTCTCATTAGTATTTGGGCTCATTTGCATTTCAGGTTGCAACTGAGCACCCTCCCTTCTTCCCCATCTGATGGGATGTGGGGCTCAGTTTGGCTCTGTCCAAAGAAATCCTCCTCACAAATACTCTGTCTATGCTCTTGTCATTTTGATAGCCACAGTTTTAGATGTCACAGTGGAAACTCTTAAGTTAACATCTTGTATACATGCATTATATCAATAAACCTGAGAGCAGTCCTGTGAGGTGGATGCTATTGTCCCTATTTTACAGGTAAGGAAGCAAAGAGGAGATGCAGCATCTGCCCGTGTTGCACAGGCTGTGCTAGGATCTGAACACCATCTGGTCTGTCCAACACCACCAGCAGTTCACCAACATCACAGGAACACGGATGGTCATGCTGGCCTTCTCCCCAGCCAACTGCTCGAGCTCCCCATGTGACCTCTATCTTTGGAGCCGTACTTGCATGCCCTAGCTTTCTCACAGACCCTGAGGACCAGCCTTCATAAGTTTTAGTGAAGGTCCTGCCAAGACATAGCAGGAATGTCCATGTTTCCTGTCTGCCAGTGAGCAGGCAGAAGGGGCTGGCCTACCCCATTGCACCTCCAGCCTGACCTGAGCCTGGGACTTTTCCACAGTCCTGGATGCAGCAGAGAAGCTACCTGCTGACTGAGGTGTTCACTGATAGATTTAAGCCACCACTACAGAGCACTGAGTGTATGTGGGAGGGGGTCAGGAGGACAGAGAGCCTTTTTCTCCTGAGGGAGGCAGGATGAGAGTGAGGTCTAGGCCCTAAGGTATAGACCTTCAGGCCTTAAACTGCTCTACTTGTGCCTCCTGGGCCCATGCCCCTGGGAACTTCTTGTGGGACCTGAATTATTGTCTGCAGATGGATGAGTCCTAAGGCCGGAGGACTAGGTGACCAGTCCTTGGTGTCTGTGATGGGCACACATTATTCTCAAGGAGTAGCCCTTGAACTCCCAACTCATCCCTCTCTCCCTTTCTCTTGCCAGGGATCCCAAAAGGTGCGATGCTCACCCATGGAAACGTGGTCGCTGATTTCTCAGGCTTTCTGACACTGGCAGAGGTGAATATAGTAGACTCACTAATGCAGGTGTCTCTTAAGGACAGCTTCAACCAACAGAGGTTTCTTGGTTTCTGTTTCTCAGTCTTGGCTGCCTTTCATAGGCAGCAGTTTCTGTTCTCATTAGAGCACCTCAGTTGTGTAGCCACTTTTAAACCACTTTTAAAAGACATAGAAATGCCATAAACCCAGTTGGTTTCTAAGATAGTAATACACTAGAAG